AGGCAAATGAGGGAAGAACTGACATCAATTGAAAGCAACTACAAAAACTCTCAGCACTCTACTGTTAAATTTCATATTTGCTGGTGGTGGACATTCTGGCTATGAGTCTGCCTTGCTGTCCCACATGTCCTACCCTCAAAATAATTAAAGAATTTAGTTCGGTTCAATAGCCAAACTACAGTGATCCGAGCAATCTCCACAGAATTACATTCCTAGTTACAAACACACACAAAATAGGATACCTTCCTTGTATCATCAACACTATACTGGAATATTACCTTATACTGCAAGCAAAAGTAGGATTTGTTTTGCTTGCAGAATTATTCCAATTGCTTTCAAGCCCAGACAGATAAAACTCACTATTTGAGTGGACTGCTTATTTTCTGTGAAGAATACATCATTAAGGCAATTATCCTGGAACAAGTATCTTAAAGGATTCACTTAAGCCAAACTGTGATCACATTCTGCTGAAAGGTTCCTTCCTTCTAAATCCATCTTTGGACTGCACCTAGCAATTATCAAATCTGCAGGAGCCTACTGATCCATCTGAAAACTAATTTTGGGAAGAAAACCCCAAACCCTACTGATCCATCTGAAAACTAATTTTGGGAAGAAAACCCCAAACCCCAAACATCGAGCAACATAAGGATAAAAACCACCTCAAAAACCCACATAGCCTAGATTGGTTCATGGATCCAGCTGGAAACTACCTCACCCATTCTTGCAACCACAGGCTAGAACCATACAACCAAGAGCTGGGGGATTATTTATTTGAGGCATGACCTTCATTTAGCCAAAATCAATCATGAAACAGAGGATATTCTATGCCTAACAGCAGAGCCAACTCTGTTTCCCAAACTACTCCTGCCATAGCAGGATAAATAAATTTTTAAATGGATGCAAATGGACCAGGTATGTTTAAAATGTACTCTTGGCATAGATCCTCACCTGGAGTAAACTGTCACTGACTTCAAAGGAACAATGCATCTACCCTTTGGGTGTATTTTTTTGAGACTATTACTTTAGGCAATGAAAAAAGAAAGATTCCTAAGCACTTTAAAACATACATGGATTCATTTCTTTCCTTCCCAACATCACAGACTACGTGTGGGATGCTGAAATGAATTTGGGGTTTACATATACTCAAAGGATTTACTGAGAGTGACTGAAATAAAAACAGAAGATATACAGAGAAAAGTGAATATAAAATAAAAATTGGGGAGGGGAGACTTTTTTTGGTTTTGTTCATATGAAATATGAACAAATAACTTTGTTCATATTTATTATTTCTCTCCATTTATGGGACAAATTCTTCAATGTCATTCAAGTGAAACAAATTTCAAATATTTTTCTGCTGGGAAAAAATGAATGTATTAATTTCCCTGCTCTTATACACAACTAGAAAACATATTGTTGTACACTACTCTTTCACACAAATATGAGTAAGGAGAACATGGACTAGCTGGTGTAAGAGCTTACAATCTCATTTCATACATCACTATCACTTACCTGGTTTATCTCAGTTCCTGCACTTCAGCACTCGTAAGATCAACTTTGAATTTGCTTTATAATCACTTGTTTTTCTACTGAGTCACCTGTGCTTGTTTCACCATTGGGTTCACCATAAGAGGAAGTTTTCCCTTTTTCTTTCCCATGTACAAGTTTCTCTCAAAACATAATGTACACACAAGAGGAAAGAGCAGGATTGACACAAAGGGCCACTTAACCCAGGGAACTGGGACAGGGAATCCCAAAACACCTTGCACTGCAGTTGAACTGCACTTTTCATCTGAAGGCAAATTCCTCCAAGGACAGGTCACCTTTCAGCACAAGAAGTCAACTGAAAAACTGGACAAGGAAAGAAAAACTCTGAGTACAGCTCCTGACTCCTAAATCTATACTCCATGAAGTACCAAAGGATACTTTGGGCCATCATATCATCTTCTAGTTGTAGGTACATTCAAGAATCATATATTATGTTATCATTAATACCCACATATAAAAAGAACTGGCATTTGATCATTTACCAAGTGGCTTTTAAAAAAATATAAGGAATCCTGATGGCTTCCCTTCTTAACCTAAAGTATTGCAGTTGCTACAAAGACATTACAAGTCTTTAATAAAAAGAGACAGGCTTCTATTAAAATGGTGTTTTATTGAAAACTATAAATATCATCTTAGAGAAAAAATTTAAAGTTTTGAGGCTAGGTGGAAGCTGGGGTTTCATATGACCTGAAAAATGGAATTACAGACAGCAATAGCATTTTATTTTTATTGTATGGGAGAAGAAAATAGCAAGAAAAGATTAATTTTATCTGAGTTCCTTGCTCTCTAATAACATAGATCAAACTTACTTTCTATGTATCAGATCAGATTTAAATGGTAGACATGAACCTTGCTGTTCAAGGTGTGCTGATACTGCACACCTACAAACGTAAAACCCAAAATGATATTCACATCCTAACAACATTCATATCCAGAACTATTAGAGTACCTAAAATTCAGAGGAAAATTATGTGTACAAGTCTGGGATCATGATTTTGATTGTTAAATCTAGTTTACGTGCTCAGGTACAATTTGGTGTTATTTATTGGGAATTTCTGAATTCCCATTAGGCACCTGCCATACTATTTCACCAGAAGTGGACAGGTACACATATTTTATTGTTTCTATATTTACAAAATGAAAATTACATATCTCTGGGGTTAAAAGACTTTGTAAGATGCATTCAAGGGTACAACTATTTACTACTCTCATTTTCATCAGAAAAGAATCTCAAGTTTGACTGACCCATGCAAGCCACAATTAAGCCTCATTGATTTGTTTTGACATGCACCACAAAGAATAAGAGCAGAGTAGTTTACATTGTTATTTTATTTGCCTGTACAACTGATAGGTTTATCCAGGTGAACACCTCTCACCCACACTGAGGAGGATTACGGACATGGCCTATACATGAAAATAAGTAAAGCTGCTATTGTATATTAGCTTTGGATTTTACTTTCTTCCACAAGAAATAATTCTGCACTTTTTGATGCTATCCCACTTCTCCATACACTATAGAGTGTCATAATATAAATGTGGGAAGGAAAGTAACTTGAAAGTCTGCTCTTCTGTCCCAGTTGTTGGGCCCTTTTAGCAAGGAATATATTAAAACATCTACCTCACACACTAACTTTGCAAATTCCATTGCCTTGCAGTCTATCAGGCACGTAAGAATAGAGCTGGGACAGGGATTTTATAGAATGGTCTTGACAGGTGGAGTAAACCAGACATTCCCAGACCAGCCAGAGCATGTAATGCAGAGAAAATAATTTCATATCAATGAGTGTTTTGAAAAATGTGACATAAAAAGTACCCCATGCACAGGGATTGATATCTGAAAAGGTAAAAGACCTTCTACCAATTATCAATGGAGTTCTAGAGTTTCAAAGCCAGAATTCACAGTTTTTGCACACATTTACACAACAGAGCCCAGGCCAATTGAAGGTATAAAGAGAGTAACAGATTATTACCATTACTTTTTTAAGTTTCATGTCAGGTAGAACTGATCTTCACATCAGCTGCTCTCAGACTTTCATCTAGTTCATTAAAATATCTTGTTTGGTTAGTTCTACCACTATAATTGATTTTAAACATAGTGAAACCTTAACTAAAGAGGCAGCCTGATATTAAGCAGCCACTTAAAAGCCTCTGCAGATTACCACTCCGCTCTTTGTGGTGAGGGTTTGGGCACAGTGAAGTTTTGAGCCAGATTCCACTTTCCCTTCATTTCTCAGATCACTTCAATGCAAATTCCAAATTCAGGCAGCACCACCACAGACATGTTACTGTCAGTGAAACCAGCCAAAACACGTCCTCTAGTTTGAGGTGGTCTCTTCAGCTAAGGTTGGAAAATGGCCCAAAATTGCGATCACTGTTCTGTTTTTTAAACCCCACTTCAAAGTCAAAAAGCTGATTTTCCTCTCTTGCTGCTTAAGGCAAATTTAACTGGATACACATATGGCGCAAGTGCCAAACCCATTTAGAGTTGGAGGAACTTGCAAAACATACAGAGGCAGATTCTACTGTTCTTACTCACTTTAAACAGCTCCAGCTTAACTAATGGGGCTTCTCAACACAATTAAGACAAGCAGGATCCAATCCAAAAAGAATATGCACATTTCATGGTTGAAAAATATACTCTGCACAAAGTACACTGGTAATCCAGGGAGACTTTCAAGTGGCCGTTTAATGGACAGTTATATACACGAAAAAGCAGTAGGACAATCTTAGTTCAGGATGTTTTTTTAAACAGCAACCACGTGCTATACTAAAACTAATTATGTACCCTAAACGCTTGCTAGCTAGGGGGAGGAATCTTCAACTCAAGGTGTTCTGGGCAGTCAAACTGTACGTGTTAATCTAATGCAAAATAGCATACTTTTGTATTAGGATAATACAAAACATTCGACTGCAAAGTACAGGTCGCATTCAACAGCTACGTTTTTCACAGGCAGGAATTTCAGCAAGATGGAGTGTAAGGTTTTTCGAGAAACGATTTATGTCACTTTATCGTTTATATCTATATGCATTTACATTTGTAAACAAACTGAGAGCTAAATATTAACGACCTTTTTAAAACATCCGGTAAAAACACTATTAGAATCAAGGGGGAAGGAGAAAGGGGTGTTTTTTCAGGAGCAAAGCAACAAGCCAATAACTCCAAACAGACCCCGCGGGAGGAGCAGGGCAGGTGCCTCAGGGCACTGCCCGGGACTCACTGCCCGCTCTGGGAGGGCTCCTCCGCCACCTCGAGGGGTCCCCGCCCTGCCCGGACCCCTGCCCGGCAGCCTCTCCTCCCTCCTAGCCTCTCCTCCTCCATCACTTCCTCTCCCCCTCCTCGCGGGCCCCTTTCCCCCTCACCTCAGACCCTTTTCCTCCCCCGATATACGTCCTCAGCCCGCCCCGCCTCGAACTCCCGCTTCGCCTCCCTCTTCGCCTCGCCCCGCGGCTCTCACCCTCCCGGGCTTTCAGCAGCACCGTGTTGGCCACGATGTTCTCGATTTCCATGGTCGGGGGCTCTTTCCCCTCAGGGCAGCCGGAGCGGGGGCCGCCCCTACAGCCTCCTTCGCCCCCTCCTCCAGCTCCGCCACCGCCGCGGAGTCAAGCCTCGGCTCATCCGGCCCCAAGGACCTCAGCACTGCGCTCGCCTCTTCCCCATCACCCGCTGCTCGCCCCGGCACCGCGCTCCCCCTCCCCGAGGGCGGAGACGGAGAGCGGGCAGCACCCGCCCGCCCCGGCCATGGCTCCTCCGCCCGCCTCAGGCAGCACCGCCCCTGCGCTGCCACCCCCTCACAATTACCGGGACTGCAAATCCCAGCAGGCAGAGCGCGGTGTGCACTGAGGACACTCGCGCAATGTCTCGTTGGCCTGCTGGGACACGTAGTGCACCAAACCTTCCCCGGCCTCGTCCCAAAGCGGGCGGGAAGCAGAGAGATAAATATCGCGGTACTTGGGCAAAGTTCTCGCGAGAGGTGGTAAGCTGCCGGTGCGCATGTGGTGGTGCTGGGCACGGCGAGTTGAGGGGGACGTTGGGGTCGCGCTGCTCTCTCTTCTCTTTTCTCCCTCCTCTCCTGTGCTCTCTCCTCTGCCCCACACCCCTCCAGCTCTCACGGATCTGTGGCAGAGGGCAGGGGTCAGGCCAAGGGGGAATTCAGGGGGTTTTGCGCCACCCCGGGCGCCGTTTTGCTCGCCCCGTTCGCACCTCCAGTCTTGACCCTGAACACTCAGGGCTGAGCTGCTGCCTCTCCACCGCGTCCCCGCGGGCAGCTGGAGCAGAGATGGGGAAGGCGGCGAAGCGGAAGAGAAAGGTGTCAGTGCCCTCCGCAGCAAAGGGGCCCGTGAAGTCGGCGATGGCTGTGGTCAAGAGCAACCCCTTTGAGGTGAAAGTCAACAGGCAGAAGTTTGACATCCTGGGGAGGAAGACCAAAAATGATGTGGGGCTTCCTGGTGTCTCACGGTCCAAGGCCATCAAGAAGGTAAGAGGACATCCAGAGCAGCGAGGAAGGATGGTGTCTGTGGATATGGGGAAATGATAAGGCTGGAGCCCTCTCAGGTGAAATAAACGACTACCTCTGTTGTGCACAGGAGGGGTGGCCGGTCACCTCTGATGCTCAGGGGTGATAGAGGGCTCGGGGAATGGCTCCTGCCAGCGCAACCCACAGGGTTCAGTAGTACAGGTCTTCCTTACTGCTTGTGTGGGAATGGTTCTCTTCGCTAGTTACCCAGGTCCAGAATACAATGGCACGTGTTGTCGGCGAGTAAGTAGTGGACCATAGAGTCCATTACATTGGTGGGTTCTGCTGATCACAGGATGTTAAGCTTCTTGATAATGTAACGTTGGTGTAAAAGTGGAAGATTGAAAGGGCACTAAGGTCGGGATGCAGTGAGAAATGTGTAACTACAAAGAAACTGCTGTTGATCTGGAAAACAAAAGCAGGTGATCTTTTGTGCATTGGTTAAATAGAGATGTCATAGAAGTAGGTTGGGATATAATGATCTGTCTGCTGCTGTCATAAGAATGACCATACAACTTGAGTAATTTCTTTATCTTCAACCCTTGTACAATTTTCAAAATGCCTCTTTTTCTTTCTCTATTGCCATCAATGGCTACCTGACCAAAATCTGTGATGCATAAGGATGAGAGAGTGTGTCATACTATGCATCTGGGATTCCAGCAACCTACCTCATTCTTGGGTGAAACACTTGACTTTTTAGTGGTCTGTCACTTCAGACAAGCCAGCAAAGTTAAAACCTCTGTAGATTAAGTTAAAGCTGAAAAAAGTGTACTTTGAAAGTATGTCCCTGAGATTCTCTGATGTGTTAAATACATGCTGTTGTTGAACAGAATTTAAAGCACTTACTGAAAGGGCAAGTGCAGCAAAAGTACATGGTTTTTCAACAGATGGTTTATCATTTTACATGTATTGTGAAAGGTAATGCGTTAAGTATTTTCTTTTTTATCAATAGGAGAAGTAATCAATTGAGTGAAAAAAAGCATAGAAATGCTTTCTGGTACCAAATGTATTAAGAGGTATTAATGTTCATATACAGTGTTTCAGCTATATGATACTTGTATGGTTACTGTAAGTAAATAGAACTGGCACAATATTAGATGAAACCTGAGTTTCAGTGTCATTTACAGCAGCATCTGAAAATTGTGGATGCTCAGAGAGGCTGCAGAGGTCTAGACTAGAAAACCCGGCCTTTTCCTTTAGTGAAGCATTTTGTGAGATTCTGGTAATGTGAATGGCACAGTATCTTTCTGTAAGAATCAATTAATGTGCTCTAAATAAAAATAGATATTTCTTCAGCCTAAACACAGCCAACATTTTCTTTCTTTAGAAACTATATAACATCTTCAGCATGAAATTGTAAATTAGCTTTCAGATTTTGTTACTGTTTGTCAAGATTTTTGGAAACTTCATTAATGTTGTACATCACATTTTAGGATTTGGGGTTTTATTATTTGTCATGAATTAGTTCACTGGCATTTGTCTCCTCGCCTGTCCCAAAAGTAGAGCACATAGTAAGTACCTTTTATAGGTGTGATAAGCTTCTTTTTACTGACTGGATGCTTGACCTCCCCATGCTCAACAGTGACACAGGGCTAGATCCACTTGAGTCTTTTATGTCATAGATGAAATGACCAAAGAAAAGTTCAGCTGACTTTTGCTAGCTTTTTTTTGCTTTCTGTAATATGTTATTCTTAGTTTACTAAGCTTGAGATGCATCAAAATCCTCTAGTGTAAATGCACAGGTTTTGTATGTGATAAAATAAAAGTGAGATATGGAGTAACATGTTACCTTCACATGGATGCTTATAAGAGAACTTAATCTGAATGTACTGTATGAGCTTCCCATCTTTTTTCCATGTTAATTTTTCCTTCTTTCATTGCATTCTGGTGAATTATTATTTATGATATAATGGCAATATAAAGATTATTATCTTGACAGGGTACCATGGAGTCTTTTTTACGTTGACTTTGGAAGTAGTTACTCTCTGTTCTTTTAATTCTATCTAGTTTTGTCCTTTTCCTTCTAGCGCAATCAAACATTACTGAAAGAATATAAAGAAAGAGAAAAGACAAATGTGTTTAAAGATAAACGTTTTGGTGAATATAACACCAGAATAACTCCTGAGGAAAAGATGATCAGACGATTCACTCTGGAAAGACAGGTAAATGATTGAAAAAAAAAAACCAACAAAAGAAAGCCAAACATAAAACCACAAGGCACGCTTGAATTTTTACATTGGGAGCGCCCCCTTAATAGAGGGTTTTGGAGGGTAATGCTTTATTTTTGGTTTTATAGGTTTGGAACTTACGAAAAAGGAATTTTTTGTGGAAACAGAAATTTTTTCATTAAATCATTTTGGTTCTGCAACACAACTGTTTGAAGCAGAGATTTCTTTGAGCACTGACATGCAAGAAAGCTAGTTATGAGCAGGTTCATTGATTAGTTGGTTTTCTTTGACTTCTTTGTTTTAGGAGTTAAATTAGGAAAATGCAGTCACCGTCAAGTATATTCTGTAGCTGAGTAGAACTCTGTAACTTGCTGTCATTCTGTACTGTGAATTGAATGTGCAGTACTGTCCTTTCTGCCTCATCATACTTCAGAAGTCTCCAGAATTAAGCAGTGTAATTTTTGTAGGTAGAAGGCTGTTTCATTAGGCCTGAAATGCAGTGATTAAAAATTGATGTTACTGATACATAGAGTATCTTCAACTTCAACTTCCCTAGATTTCCTGAGTTAGTCCATTTGTAAAAGAGAGATGTGACACTCTCTCACTTAAAATTTATTTGAATGAAAATATTTGCCTGGCAGTCTCTTCAGCTAGCACTAAAACTGTAGGCACTGTTATTTTGTTGTCTGAGAACTGAAGATATTTTGATATTTCATTGGTTTGTTTTACTGTTCTTAGCAAAATTATGGAAAGAAGAGTATCTATAATCTTAATGAAGATGAGGAATTGACTCACTATGGCCAATCTTTGGCAGAAATTGAAAAACTAAATGATATTGTTGATAGTGACAGTGACACAGAAGAGAGAGGAACACTGTCAGGTAAGAAGTGCCAGCTGGTGTTTCACTGGTAATTTTATTACTGGTAAACATGTACATCATGTTCAGTACTGTCTCTCAGTGAGAGAGAATATCATGTTCTTGGCTGAGATGTTTAAACCAAATTTGATTACTTCTTAGCCACACATAGACTGGCCCTCAGGATTTTAGCAGGGGTTAAGTTGGACATAAAACTGGCAAGCTTCTTTACTCTGTGAGCTTTTCACCATAAACAGGTACCTGGATTTTGAGCCCTTTGAGCAGAATCTGAAGTGTGAGTTTTCTGGTTGCTTTCTTGCATCTCTGGACCTACCTGTTAGATAAATACTGGAAAAAAATATGATCCTACCTCATACCAAGTTTTTTTTCAGTGTAAATTATGTGTATGACACAATCTCTTTTGGTATGACTATTCCCATAGGGATGGGACTAATGCATGATTAGTTCAATAGTTAAAATTGCTCCCATTCTCAAAGAATAGGGAGATACTGTCCTAGCAGCAGCACTCTTGCAGTCATGTGGCTTTGAAAGATTCACATTCTGCTTTTTTTCCCTAGCTGAATTAACTGCTGCTCACTTTGGAGGGGGTGGAGGCCTCCTTCGTAAAAAAGTATCAAGTGAGCAGCAAGATGAAGAGGAAAAACCTAAGTCTAGGAAAGAACTCATCGAAGAGATGATAGCCAAATCTAAACAAGAAAAGGTGAGTTTTTAGCCCTGAAGTATAAGTGAGCATGGTTAAGAAGCTTTCACCATAGTGGCATAGATAACAATGAAGGAAGCTTTCTCAGAGGAGTCCAAGCTCCGTGAATAAAGTCTGATTTCGTAGGCATTTTAGATATAACTTGTTTAGCTGACATTCCTTTGTATCTCCGAATCTCCCCTTGTGTTCACACCTGTTTTATGAATGCAAGCCATGTACCATTCAGCATAGCTCTATACTGCTTCTTTACAAAGAATGTTTGCAGCTTCAAAATGTTAAGTATTTGAAATTATTAATTTGTGAAAGACAGTGTTTTGGTTTTAAGTTGTAAATGCTATGTCATGTCCATGTGAACATAACTACTGCATTTGTCTTTGTTTTATTTTTCTAGCAAGAGAGGCAAACTCAGAGAGAAAGTGCCTTAGAACTGACAGAAAAACTTGACAAAGACTGGAAGGAAATCCAAGCCCTTATTGC